TATCATATGATACATGAATATATATATATATAATTCCAGCTTATAGCCTTGTTTTTCTTGCTTATAGTAAATCAACATCATGGAAATTAGAATCGCATGCAGCCATATGCAGTTATAGTAAAATTATCCATATAGATGCACATGTGCATCTCTCTATATCTATACATGGTACAGCATCAGATACAGTATAGTCAGCGTCAAGCGATGAGAGGCGACACGTTGGTGACTTTCGCCCCGAGCCTATATCAGTTATCACTGTTATCAGTACACCGCTTATTACTATGAGTACTTAATTCTTAATTAAACAATATTTAGGTATTGCTCCAAAAAATTAAGTACACGACGTCGGCATGCTGCTGTTGACAGTGCTGACAAAGCGGTTATACAGCATTTACAGCAGCAGTTCATTTTTCGCATTGAGTGGTTGCATGGTGTTTTATTGTTGATAAGTAAAGGGATGTACCGATAATTGTATGGTTATTTTGTTGTGTTTTTTTATGCATATTTTAAAGTTAACCAATCGAGTTTCTGGAGGTCTGCTGTACCTGCATATGTGACGGTGGTGCTGTGTTATTTTTTTTAAAAGAGGTAAGTCATGTGTTGGATCATTCAAACAGATGGTTTGTATTTTTTGAAGGAATTTATTGGTGATGTTCACGTGAAGTATTATATGGTTTATTTTTCAAGTTTTTTATTTCGAATCTTATGTTTATAATTTATAAAACATGATGTACTGGAGTACTGTTTTTTTTTTTTTTTAATGTTTTTTGTTACTTTCTAACTAAAACTTTATGGTAAATTTAATTCAATTTTTCATGATTTTAATGGCAGTCGTGACACTAAAATTGTCTGATATCAAAATGTTATTTCTATAACTTATATTTCCAGTGGTTTCTATAATGTAATTAGATTCCATCCACAGTTATTGAATTATAAGCTTGCAATAATTTGATAAAAGGGGAGCATTGGAAAGTCTTTATTGTATAGAGCAATTCAAATCTTACCAATTATTTAATGCTAACTTGGAATAATAAAATTTTAGCTAATATACTCTTCAAAGAACAAATATGAGGATTGTGCAATTCAGAAGGAATCGTGTGATTCATATAGCAATAAGTAGTGCACTTGTACTTCTAGTTTTTTACTTTGTTTACTCAATGCCTGAAAACAAACTCAGCAAAGTACGAGATTGGGCTGAAAATCTCAAGGGTAAAAAGGTGAGTCACTTTCGTTGTTTCTTTAACGTCTTATTAAACACTTAAATTTTATGGCATTTTCAGAGCTATGCACCTGTACTTACCAAGGGTATGGGTAATTTTGAAGTTGAAATAAAACATAAGACTGGACCAGGTGAAGGAGGAAAGGCTCATACATTGAGAGAAGATCAACAAAATGATGTACAAGAATCTGAAGCATCCTACGGTATGAATATTGCTTGTTCCGATGAAATAGCTTTTGATAGAAATATACCAGATCTAAGACCAGCCGAGTAAGTATGACTAACGGAGGTGCAAGTAAAGATTTTTATACTTTTTCATCCATCTTATTTCAAAATTCCTTTTCAGATGTAAACATTGGAATTATTCAGAAGATTTACCTAAAACTAGTGTAATCATTGTATTCCATAATGAAGGCTGGTCAGTTCTTCTCAGAACTGTTCACAGTGTTATAAATAGAACTCCACCTCAGTTCCTTGAAGAAGTTCTCTTAGTTGATGATTATTCTGATAAAGGTATATTGATAGCTGAGTTTATGGCAAATAATATATATGTATAGTCATGCGTTTAAATAATTTTGATATTATTTTTTTTCAGAAAATTTAAAGAGTAACTTAGATACTTACATTGAACTTTGGGAAGGCAAAGTTAGACTTATTAGAAATACTGAGAGACAAGGTTTGATTCGCACAAGATCACGTGGTGCTAGAGAAGCTAGGGGTGAAGTTATTGTTTTCTTAGATGCGCATTGTGAAGTAAATGTAAACTGGTTACCTCCACTACTTGCCCCAATAGCAGAAAATAGCAATGTAATGACAGTTCCTGTAATTGATGGTATAGACCACAAAACGTTTGAATATAAAACAGTTTACCAAGAGGGACATCTGTATCGTGGTATTTTCGAGTGGGGAATGCTTTATAAAGAAAACGAATTACCTACTAAGGAAGTACGTTCAAGAAAGCATAGCAGTATGCCATACAGGTTTGTACACCATTGTAGAAACAATCATTTTAAGTTTTGTTTCTTTTTTTTGCTCCAAAAATTGAATTGTATCAAACGTATAAGGCAAATTTGTATAAAAAATTGATTAATTAGATTGACAAAATATAGCCATCAATAATACTTGATGAGACTTACTGCAATTACGTTTATTTAGATCACCGACTCATGCAGGAGGTCTATTTGCCATTAATCGAAAGTACTTCTTGTCTCTTGGAGGGTACGATGAAGGTCTGTTAGTATGGGGAGGTGAAAATTTCGAATTGTCCTTTAAAATTTGGCAATGTGGCGGCATGATTCTTTGGGTGCCTTGTTCGCACGTTGGACACGTTTATCGAGGTTTCATGCCTTACAATTTTGGAAATTTAGCACAAAAGAAAAAGGGACCTCTGATAACTATTGTAAATTTCATCTTTTATTTAAAAAAAAAAAAATCACTTGTAATAAAAAAATGCTCCTTAGTTATAACAAATTTTATTTTAACGTTAGAATTACAAGCGTGTCATTGAAACGTGGTTTGATGAAGAATACAAAAAATATTTCTATACAAGAGAGCCCTTAGCAACACTTCTGGATCATGGGGATATATCGGAACAGCTTGAATTTAAGAAAAGAAAAAAATGCAAGAGCTTCCAGTGGTATATGGATAATGTTGCTTATGATGTATTTGATAAATTTCCAAAATTACCGGGAAATATTAAATGGGGAGAGGTCAGTATTTGTTAAAATTAACTTATCAAAGAATTAAACAAAGTAGCTGTTTTGGCTAAAAATATGTTCATTGCTTAGTTGAAAAATGTTGCCACACAACAGTGCCTTGATACAATGAATCATGCTCCACCTAGTCTCATGGCTGTATCACCCTGTCATGGCTATGGGAATAATCAAGTAAGAAAGTAATTGATAACGTACCTTCACCGATTTGTTTAACACAATCTAATAATATTACTTTTCTTAATAGCTAATTAGATTGAATACTAAAGGACAACTTGGAGTTGGAGAAAGGTGTATTGAAGCTGATGGTCAGGGAATCAAGTTAGTTGTATGCAGATTGGGAACAGTGGATGGTCCTTGGGAGTATAAAGTCGGTATCATATGATACATGAGTTATTTAATGATTCTAAAAAAAAAATTTTGTAACTTTTCAGGATTCAAACACACTTCACCATCGAGTACATAACAAATGCGTGGCACTTCATCCACAGACATATCATCTGTCACTGATGCCTTGTGATTTTAATAATGCATATCAACAATGGACGTTTGAATCAATTAATCCACACTGGTGAATGCATCAATGAAATTGCAGAGATTCACTGTTTATATTATTGATACTTAAGTACTTGTGATCGATGTTTTCAACAAATGAGAATTTTATAACAATCCTACAGAGAATTTTTTATCTTATACAAGATTATTTTTTATCTTAAACTTATAGTTACAAGATGGGTTTAACACGTTTGTCATAACTATGTCAGAAGAAAAAACAATCAAGTAATGATACAGACTGACCCCTTTTAACCTTTTTATATTCTCAGCAACAAAGAAAATTATATTACTTTATCTTTTATACAAGCTAGATCAATTATACATCAATAAAAAGTTCTATCAGGATAGCTAATTGTGAATTATTGTGTCATTACAAATAAAGTGATACAGGTAATGACTTAAAGATTGATTGTTTAAAAAGTGATTGTTGTTTCAAAAGCATGTGTTTTTATTATTCCAAGAGATTACTATTTTCTAATCATTTAAAAAAAATCATCATTCCAATAGACATTGCGTTTACTACAAGTAAACAACAGTTTAATTGAAATAAGACTGACACAGGATTTCATTGATATTGTAATTATGAATTACTTAATTTTGTGTGTGGTTATTTTAGTTACAAGGGTAATTATTGCTATTATATGTTACCTTTTATTTTAAGCATGACCTTGCAGCTTAATATTGTCGTACTTAAAAACCTGGTTTTTTTTTGTAATTTCTAAAGTGATCAACAACTTGAATTTAAAAAGAGTTGATTGAACATTTTTGTCAATACTTTAGGGAAAAGAAAATACTTATATTTTGTATTCTGTCACGAAAGTGAGCAGTAGTACATAACTGTTGTGCATTATCAGAAGTCAGAGTAGAAGATTGTAAAAAAAGTATTTTTTTTAAGACAATAAAAGAAATAAACATTTTTATGATATCAATTGTGATTAAAGTACCTTACCAACTTTCCCTACATATTTATACTTAAGATGAAATACTAAGAAAGCCTTTTAAATTACAGCTGTATTGCAAAAAGTTTTGGTTAAGTACTCGTATGGTATAAGTTGGTGGATGAATAAGTTGTAGCAAATAATTTTTTATTGGTGAATTGTTTGCGTTTAAATTAATAAAGATAGGCAATGATACGGTATGATGACAAATGCCAGTAAAATGCACATGGACATGTTACAAAAAAAAAAAAAAGATAAGTAACGTATCAAATCAAATTTATTGTTACTGAAATCTCGAGTTACAATTTTAGAATTACTTTTCCATTTCATTGGAACTTTTCTGTGTGTACCATTTTAGTGTCATAAAAATTAGATTTGTGTAGTGTGTTAGCGTATTTATTAAAAAATAACAGCTTTATCTTCTCATGAAGTTTAATTGAATGTGTTGACAATGTCGTCGATTTTAAGAATACTGCGAACGGTCTCAGTAGCGAGAGTCATCGCACTAACCGTAACGAGCAGAGGCTGTACTACATCTTCCTCGAACATCCGAGTGATCGTACCCTTGCGGACGTTGATTCCGGCATCGGTTTCACCGCTAGCGTGTCGTTTGCGCAGTTCCGTTACGGTAGCGATTGGATTAAGGCCAGCGTTCTCAGCCAGAGTTAGCGGAATGATCTGTAAAATGTGAATTTTAACTCATACCTTTCACGATTGCATACACATTGATGCTTATTCGATGGATCTCGAAAATTGAACCAACCTCAAGGGCATTAGCGTAAGCCCTGATGCAGTAAGAATCGACACCCGTCATGGTTCGGGAGTATTGGGCCAATCGTAGAGACATTTGAATTTCTGGTGCACCTCCTCCAGGAAGGATAGCATTCTGTTTTACCAAGCATCGTATTACACAGAGAGCGTCGTGCAATGATCTCTCGGCCTCTTCCAGAATAAGCTTGTTGCTACCACGAACGACTACAGTCACAGTTTTGCCTTGGTTCTGTATTCCAGTGATCTGAGGACAAAGAAAATATAATTCTTACGTCACTGAAAAATAAATCACGTGAAGTACAAACCAGTAATAAAATAACATACTTTGACAAATTTGGAATTGCCAGTTTGGATTTCCTCACACAGCTCGGCATTAACAAGATTTTCAGGAACAAAATGGTCAAGGGAAGCTATAGGGCGACAACCTAATGTTTTACAGACAAAGGGAATATCTTCCCTCTCGATGTCCTTGATGACCATACACTTAATTTTATCCAAGAAGTGAATAGCCAGATCACTCACAGCATCACGCAGTATTGACTTTTGCACAAGCAAAACGTTGCAACCAGCTTTCTTGATTTGTTTCACAATATTGAGGATATATGCCCTCTCTTCCTTAAGAACTCGGTCCATTTGTGAGTAGTCTGAGACAATTACATTGTGGTCCATCTAAAGAAACATCGTTTAATAGGAGTTACTGGAATCTTTTCTTAATGTATACTGTGAGATGAATTTCATGCTTGGTTACTTACGTCCGTTTTTGGTGGGGAAATGCAGAACTGAATCAAACCAATTTTTGCTTTCTCAACACGTTTTGGTCCATTAGTATTGCAAGATTTTTGAGTGAAAACCAGGCCATCGATAAGTTCTGTATCTTCAACAGTGCCACCTAGTTTCTTAATAACTTTGATATCCTAAAGAATTATGTCAATTCAATTAAAATCGTTTACTTCAAATAAAGTTACAACAATAATACAAACCTTCAAATCAACAGCATTTTCCTTGCCTGGTTCTGTAACTTTGAGTACAGCATTAACGGCAATTGTTGACAAAACATTTGAGTATTGCGAAACGACCTTCGAATTAAGAGATGTACTAGCAGTGCTATACAACATGGGTAAATTGGTCATGTCAACGGATTTTGCCATTTCTTTCAAGACATTGACAGCAAAGTGAGCACCATTTTGAAACGACTCACTGATGAGAGTTGGATGAATATCCTTTTGAAGCAAACGTTCAGCAGCTTCCAACAGAGCACCAGCTATGACTACTACACTGGTTGTTCCATCTCCAGCCTCAATGTCTTGTGCCCTGGACAGTTCTACCAACTGCAATGTCAAGTTAATTACATACATATTTTGAACTATTAGGAATAAAACGTTTTCAACATCCTCAATCCAATTTTACCATCTTTGCAGCAGGATGTATAACGTTTATTTCTTTCAAAATGGTGGCCCCATCGTTAGTAATTGTTACTTCTCCATTGCTAGCTTGGATCTGAAAATCAGATGAGTAAGTAACCCTTTAAGAATTGGGAGATTCTTATCATTTTCATGTTAAAATGTACCATCTTGTCCATTCCTTTGGGTCCCAGACTGGTTCTGATGGCATAGCTGACAGCTACAAATGATAATTAAAAATTCAGACTAATTTTGTTTATACTTCTGAATTGTTTTTCTTTTTTTTTTCTTTACTGAGGGCATTGTAAATCGATGAAACGTCGAGAAAAACTCTAATTTTTTGACACGAGAATAACCTATGTAGCTTAGACACATTTAACCTAAAATCTGGACTCAATCTCGAAAACTCGGTACTCCAAAAAAATATTAAGGATCTACTTTATAGAAAAAATTCCGTTATCCAATGAATAGATCAAAGTTCATGAAGTTAAGCCAAATCACGAAACCCTGAATACGATTTTCACGCGTACCGGCGTCAAACCCATGCCCATAAAAGGCGACCCCCTGAGCGATCGCCCTAACCGGAGCATCGTGTCGTAATTCCCGATCATCCTGGCGTTGCATCGACAAATCATTGATTTAAAAAAATCATGTACATGATCCACGAATGCAGAAGTTTACGATTGAAAGAAAAAAAAACAACGGACCTTTGGCAGCACTAATGTTGCTAAAACGAATGTCCGTGGGCTTGGTCCTGTCCTTGTAAGCCTGGCGCAAGCCGCGTCTGCCATCGCTTCCTGTCATTTTTGAGCAAATACTTGTCGCTGTGTCTATTCGCACCAAATCCACGTAATTACGTGGATATAAGGTTAGGAATTTTAAAGAAAAACGCTACTTTTTCAAATGAAGTATGTCTACGTCAAGTGAAGTTTGCACCAGTGCTCTCGCCTGTTGAAGCGGGAGGGAAACGAACGAACGTACGAGCGCACATGTGCACCGAGTACACGAGCGTTCGTTTTGAGTTAGCGCGCATGCGTTTGGCTGCAGCACTCTGAGGGTGAGATTACAAGATTAAGTACATGGAGTGATGGCAGTCTGCAGACTGGCAGAATCGCGCTAAGTTTAATAGTATACTTACCTAGGCCAGAAAGTGGGGCTATTACTGACCGCGCTATATTATCGGGTAATGCGCGGTCAGATGTAGCCCCACTTTTTGGCCGTGGTACGTATACTTTTTTTGTAAATAAATGTAATCCTAAATATTAAAATGCAGCAAATAATCACACACCAACAATAAAATATTATCAGTAACGAGGTTAAAACATAAATACTCTCAACACTGTACAACAGCGTGGCGCTGTAGCTGCAGTCAGTAATAGACGCCCAGGCGAGAGCACTGGTGCGAACTTCACTTTACGTGGACATACTTCATTTGAAAAAGTAGCGTTTTTCTTTAAAATTCCTAACCTTATATCCACGTAATTACGTGGATTTGGTGCGAATAGACACAGCGAATCTAAAATGGTAAGTCTCGCATTATTTACAACTGATTGATAAAAGTGAGGTTATGCGGTCATGTGTGTTTACTTTCTTCATGAATTTCATTACGGAATACTTCATTGACTGTGCATAAAAATTTACAGGGTAAAGACAAAAAAACTCGGAAAGTAGTGATGCAGAGATTTGCACAGATGAAAAAAATGATTAGTTTAAGTGATCCAAGAATGTGAGTAGTGCTTTTTGTTGCAATTTTACTTTGTAATTTTGCTTCAATTAATATTCTTTAGTATGTATTTAATGTTATTGAGAATCATTAAATGGATTTGCACAATATTTATTTCAGTAAGGAAGAAAAACGTGCACCCCCAAAGAAGTCTAAGCCCGAGGATCCGCATGTGTTAAAACTCAACAATGTGTATGTTGTGCTGTCATTTCAATGGTTAAAAATTGTTTTTTTTTTTATAAAATTGTAACCTTAAGTTCGTTGTTTTAGGCCACAACAATCTTCAGCTCTGTTCTTTCAGTATAACGAACAATTAGGTCCACCTTACCACATTATTGTGGATACTAACTTTGTTAACTTCTCAGTGAAAAACAAACTAGATATTATAGAAAACATGAGGCATTGTCTTTATGCACATTGTATACCATACGTTACAGACTGTGTCATGGGAGAAATGGAAAAACTGGGGAAAAAATACAGAATAGCTCTAAAAGTTATCAAAGATCCAAGGTTTGAAAGAATACCTTGCATGCATAAAGGCACATATGCTGATGATTGCATAGTCAACAGGGTAACTCAGGTAAACACTTATTTTTAAAATATCTTATTATTTTATTTTACTTGATGAAAAAAAAAAAAAAAATCTGAAATTGAAAAAGTTATCAAAGTTCTTTTTGATTATACTGTGAACATAATCTTATGTTTGGCAATACTTTGCATTATTTGAAAAATAAGGCTATGAAAAGATCATGATAACTGTATTCTTTATTCATTATTAATTTAATAATAACTCTAGCCTCTTAATTATGAAAATTAATAAGTTCTCTGTTAAATGGAGATTGGAAGGAGACAAGTAATATTTTTTAAGCCATTAATTTCCCAATAACATACAATTTCTATTCCAGCACAAGTGTTACATCGTGGCGACGAACGATAAGGATCTTAAGCGCCGTATCCGAAAGATACCCGGAGTGCCCATAATGTATGTGTCGCAGCATCGTTACACCATTGAACGCATGCCTGATGCCTATGGAGCGCCAAAAACTTAATCAAAAATACCCGAGTAGAGGAGAAATGATTCAGCTGGCTTTTCGTCTTTTTCTGCGTCTTCCTACAATTTACTAACAGATGGTATTGATGAATTTTTACATGCATTAAAAAAAAAAAAAATATGAAAGACAGACCATTATTTTTATTTGATTAAAATTAAAGTTTATTGATGCAAAGTGTGACGAAAACCAAAGTATATTATTAAATGAAACAAAAAAATCGCAAGTATCAATAAGCATTGACCATAATAGATTTCATCTGGCTTGAGCAAACAGATATTGGTGACACACGCTTCAGAAGAATCAAGCGAATCCGTCAATATCATGTGTACGGGGATTGAGTCCCAAAATTGTATAGCTCACTGTAAAAACGATAAAGCGTACATAAGAATTAAAAAATGCACGCGGCGCGTAGAAATCAGACCGAGGGAGATGCTTGGATCGACGCAAGCCCTAATTTATCGCCGGAAAGAGGGAGAGAGAAAATATGAAAAAAAAAAAAAAAAAAAAAAAAAATCATCAAATTTTACAATTCGTAAATTTCTTGTATTCAACCCACATGCCTTTTCAATAATTCATCGATGAATGAAAAACATCAGTTCATTATGCACCCTGTCATTGAATGTATTTTTTGTTACAAAAATAAATACGATTAAGTCCTCAATCAATTGAAGTATACCTACCGGCCGATATTATATACCTTACGATTTTATATTGGTTTAAAAAATGTATGAATTAGGGGCTAAAAAAAGCAGAGTACTGTGTACAGATGGTGGTCCTCTTTATATTAGCGAAAAAGTATTTTAATTTGAACAAAAAGTAGGCTTATTCAAGAAAAGTAAACAATCTATGGAAAATTATATATTTAATTTACCTGCACCTCGCATTATGCGGAAATAGACTTTAGAAGTAATTTCTAACTGTTTTTGTCAAAAGTCTTTAAGTTCCAATTAAAACTCTAGCATAAATATCAAAATTTCAATTTTTTTAACCAACTTTCTGCATTACAAATGTTTGTCATTATTATCACCATATTACGGTACACACTCAATTAAATGCACTCGTTATTTTAATCAACATTCGTTCACTTGTGACGAGTACGTATATATACAATATTGTGAGAGTTAATGCAAAAAAAAGTTGAATCGTTCGTTGATTTAATTAGCAAATGATACATCATAAATTATTCAGAAGCTCCGAAAAATNCTTGATTTTTTGATATTTCGGGGTGATTTTGTTTTTGCACGTAAAAAGAATAATGATTTGCGTTCAACGTGCGTGAGTGAGTGGTAGTACGCGTGTAACGAAATTCGTATTATATATATATATATAATCGTAATTAAGGCGATTATTTATTTTTTATTACCTACCCGAATTTCACTCTACTTGCATCATCATAATTTTATCTTGTATTATTCAAATAGTTGAATTTAAATTAAAAAAAAAAAAAAAATCATCAAATTTTACAATTCGTAAATTTCTTGTATTCAACCCACATGCCTTTTCAATAATTCATCGATGAATGAAAAACATCAGTTCATTATGCACCCTGTCATTGAATGTATTTTTTGTTACAAAAATAAATACGATTAAGTCCTCAATCAATTGAAGTATACCTACCGGCCGATATTATATACCTTACGATTTTATATTGGTTTAAAAAATGTATGAATTAGGGGCTAAAAAAAGCAGAGTACTGTGTACAGATGGTGGTCCTCTTTATATTAGCGAAAAAGTATTTTAATTTGAACAAAAAGTAGGCTTATTCAAGAAAAGTAAACAATCTATGGAAAATTATATATTTAATTTACCTGCACCTCGCATTATGCGGAAATAGACTTTAGAAGTAATTTCTAACTGTTTTTGTCAAAAGTCTTTAAGTTCCAATTAAAACTCTAGCATAAATATCAAAATTTCAATTTTTTTAACCAACTTTCTGCATTACAAATGTTTGTCATTATTATCACCATATTACGGTACACACTCAATTAAATGCACTCGTTATTTTAATCAACATTCGTTCACTTGTGACGAGTACGTATATATACAATATTGTGAGAGTTAATGCAAAAAAAAGTTGAATCGTTCGTTGATTTAATTAGCAAATGATACATCATAAATTATTCAGAAGCTCCGAAAAATTAATTTAACTCTGAATGATTTAAAGAGATAAGGGTAGGGGATATTAAAATTTTTCTCGCAGTCACATGTAAATGATTTATCACTAATGCTTTCTCCTACAAGGAGTTAATCAAATAAAAAAAAAAAAAAAAAAAAAAATCATTTAACCACAAATATATAGTATTAATAAAAGTTACAAAGGTGAAAGAAAAAAAATGCCTGAAAATGTAATTATAAAAGTAAAATCGTGTGATTGAATGAAATTTGATAACCCAATGTTAAAAATCGACGAAAGTAAACGAATCAGAGGGAAAAAAGCAGGTATACCTGCATTTATTACATTAAACTTTTAAAACCCCTGAACCCCCTTTTTTGGTCAAACACATGCAGATGTACTATATGACATTTAAACTACACCCGTCATACCGATAAAAGATAGGCACTTTGATTGATATCTGTACACACAATTGTCTCCTGCCACCACCAAATATGACATATATCTTTTTTTTTTTATATTTAAGTGTACTGACTCCATCAGAAAAAAAATGATGACATATACCTACCACGTATAGGTACTTATACAGACAGTATTATTGTATGCCTCCCTCGCCTCGCTCGCTCATTACCGATATGCCCCTGTATACCTCTATTCTCTCTCACGAATCGCGAGAGCAATGAGGGCGACGTATAATATATAGAGGGTGGGTGGGGGGGGGGGGTTCTCATTCCGTTAATTCCGTTCTCCGCGCATGTATACAAGCGTGCAAGTACAACATTGGGGGGAGAGAGAGAGGCAGGGTGGGAGGGGGGTAAACTGCAGCATCCGTAAATTATTTGATTCCACTACAGAAGCGCCCGGGGCGTGTACGACAAGAGGATGATGACGAAAAGATAAAAACAGCTGAGGAGGGGGAGCGGGTGGTTGGTCAGTGTCAGCTGCCCCTTGCCCACCAGATTCTCTCTCTCTCGCTTCGGGCATCTCTCTGCTCTCACCCTTTTCTTCTCTCCTCTCCTTCCTCCCTATCTCTCGCTCTCTACCTTTATACCTCTGCCCCCCCCCCCTCTTTCGAACTCCCCATCTCCCTCCCCAGCCGTTTTAAAGATCGTCCTCAACTTGCACATCGCTTTTATGTACCCCGACGACCCAATCTCTGCCTCAAACATTTCGCGTGTATAATCCACCCTCCGCTCCTTTTTTTCTCCCCTTTTGCGATATTATTGTTACTATTATTAATTATTATGATTATTGTACTACTGTCGCGATTAATAATAATAATAATAATAATAATAATACGAATAATAATATTATTATTGTTGTTGTTCTTATTATTATCGTAATCGTCGTCACTATACACGCGCAAGTCGCGATTATTATTATCGTCATCCATATCGATCGTCTCCTTCTCTCTTTTTCGGTTGTCTCGTGGTAGATTCTTAACTCGTGACTCTTCTTCTGTAGTTTTTGTTGTTTTTTTTTTTTTTTTATTTATTTATTTTTTTTTTACATTTGCTTACCTTCCTTTTCTTAAATCCTTCGTCCTCCCCTTTGATTTTGCCTCGATATATAATATGCGAAAAACGACAAAGACGAGAAAAGAGGGAGGAGCGAGAGGAATGTGTAGCAGAGCGGCAACAGAGTTCGGGAAACCTTCGAATATCATAGTAATTATGTATGCAAGCCGCATCGACTTATTGTACGCGTCTGTGTAAGTACATGTACGTAAAATATATATGCACTGGTGCTTCGTACTCGCGCGTATAATATATGTAAAGGAAAAAAAAAAAATAAATAAAATAAGAAAGAACGTTCGCATGCGTTTTGAAGGTATATATACATGCATGGGAGGGGGTGACCGGGACATAATTATGATAATGATGATGACTGATCGATGCCCTCAGCTAACTTGTAACTGTTGTATTGATGCGGATGTTACCGATCGCCGTGATAATTTCATTACAACGATAGAACGTTTTGCGCCCGAATTCTCTCTCGTCTCCGTTTATTAAAACACTGTATCATAATATGCGCGCGTATAATATTATTGGCGTATCCGCGGGCTCCCTTTGCTCAAGTATAGTTTGGATTTTTTTTTTTGCGCTTTTTTTGTTTCCGTGGATCTTGATTTTTTGATATTTCGGGGTGATTTTGTTTTTGCACGTAAAAAGAATAATGATTTGCGTTCAACGTGCGTGAGTGAGTGGTAGTACGCGTGTAACGAAATTCGTATATTTGGCGAGTCCCAAACACTAATTTTGTCAAATATTTTTTAATTTTCATAGAAATAAATAAATCTACAATTAATTTTATTATTTCTTGCCATTTTTATAAACGTAAGCCTATTGAAGTGGATACTCTTGTAGTATTTGATTTTATAAAACGCAAATCATCAACTATCCGTTAGAGAAACGATAAATTTAGCGAAGTTTATAACATGCGCCAAGACGCAACAAATATATATACCAAAAGAAACTATTAACTATGTCTTGTTAGTTTATTGAAATCGTCCATTGCTTGTGTTGTAAACGTAAAAAAAAAAAAAAAAAAAAAAAAGGAATAATAATTATTAATTCAAATTTTTATTAAAAAATAGTCTCAACAAACTGTTGGCAGACAATAGTCTAGCACTCTTAAAATTCTTATCCTACATACTGCGTATCGTTCACTTGACATATTTTATTTTATTTTATTTTTAGCCATCACAATAGATTTGGCATTAAAATCGTTAAGAGCAATCCAACAGTAAACTAAAAAACTGAGAATAAACGAGAGAAAGAGCAAAAATAATCCTTCCTGTATACTTACAGCTGCCCCCACACCTTTTCATCCCACGGCGTATACACACCCTATACGCGACTGCACTCAATCACACCACCGGGCGAGCGAGGATTCACGAAAGGAGGCAGGCCTATTAATCAGCCGAAAAGAGCTAATAACCGCAGCCCCCCCCTATTATTCCCGTAAACCTCAAATATACTTACATCCACTTGCTTTCTCTCATCTGCCGCAGTAAATCGCACACATAAGTGCTCCGGCGGAGCGGTAGTCGCATCTGCAACCTATAATATATATATATATATATATATATATATATATATATATATATATAGCGAAGAGAAGGATAAGAGAGAGAGAGAGAGGAAATCGGAGCGCGACGCGGATTAGCGCAAAAGTGGAACCTACATCGGTAGTCCCACGAGCTCTCAAGTATATATATATACTTGTACCTTTCTCCTCATCTTTATCGTCCCCCTTTTCGAGGGTGGACCATGCAGAGACAAAGTCAAGGAGGTGCAGAGATGAGAGGACGGGAATAAGGTCGAGAGCCCGAGTGTAGCGCAAGAGGGGGACAAACGCCGATGGATCCATAGATAAATCGGTATTTGTTCATACGTTCGAGTCGTGGGTGCATGTAGGTGTACCCGTAAACTCTCTCATACGTATATATGCGCGTCTCTCTTTATAAATATGTGTTGCCCGGTTTTTTGTTTATCTCATGCATGTGTGCGTTTTGTGCGATCGATTCATGCAAATCCAACAGCTTAATCGGGCCGGCTAATCAATTCTCGAGTGCAATATGTATTTCAAAGTAAGGAGGGGCTGGGGGTGATAGTGGTATGCGCAAAAAACTCATACGTGTAGTTGACTCCCTGTGTCAGGAGTGCGTCGTTATCTCGTTTGTATTGTCCAGCGGTTGAGCGGAATTGTAGTTTGTATCACTTGTTTGTAGGGCATACGATACAATAATATAAACGGTAGATCGGTCTCGCGCGAATTTAGACTTGGTCAGTGCATGCGCCGATGTGCAGCTATTACCGAGGTACAATTTGGCCAGCAGCAGCAGAGGAAGCGCTCGACACATATGTATGGGTACACATGAGTATGGATTTATGTTTGCCGAATTGATGGCCGTCTGTAAGTAAATTATCGGTGCCAACAAAAATTACGCGCGAGGTGTATTATGCCGTGTCCATGTATCAGACGATAGTTCATTCAAAGAAAATGCTTGGCTGCGCTCTTGCACTTTTTGGTTCTAATGCCGAGAAATCGGTGTATTTATATGGTGAAAGGAAGTGAAAGAAACAAAAGGAATCACGTAATAATGTATTTTTCTCTTTATTCGTGTAGAAATATTAGAAGTTTATTGGGAAGATAAAGTTTAAAAATAAATCACGGACCTTAACTTTACACTTTTAGTATAGTTCCTGGACCATCTCTCAACGTAATGTAGCGATTAAATTAACTCTACCGATTTCTGTCGTTCAAGTGCACATGGATATTTTTATATTTTAAATCATGTGTTGTTAACTTTAATTTCATCGTACAGCAACATTTGTCCATCCGATCCTTTCTATCGTTCGGAAATTGTATTGCTCATCAAAAACCCTTGCCATGTACAATTGTTCACGATATCATCAAAATTTCGCGCCGATTACCGATCCTCACCCCTTGAAAAAAAAAAAAAAAAAAAAAAAAAAAAAAAGTACCTCCAGCCATCTTTTTCCGCGTATCAATGATAAGACTCTCTGCGCGTAGGTTGTACAAACCATTCGCATCCATCCATCCACATTCGTCTTGCAATACTGATTCTGTTCTTCCTCACGTGCGCGCGAGCTATGTGCGTTCTCTGGAATACGCCTTATCTACTATACCTGTGCCATTTCGCCTTTTTCCTTTTCATTCCTTCCTTCCCTTTTTCATCCTCCTCCTCCTCCTCCCCTCCGAGAGTTGCAGTCTCCTTATTTGTTATTTCAGTCCGTCTTTCTTCGTCATCTAGCTATAAGTGCGAGCTTACGTACACACACACACCTCTATGCGGCCTGCTCACGTGTAGTCCTCGCTCCTCGCGCATGGATCAGGGAACTCACCCATAGTTGCACACGTGTGTGTGTATACATATCTTGCTTCCCTGGAGAAAAGATGAAAGAGAGAGAGAGAGAGAGGAAAGAGGCCCGAAGAGAGAGAGAGAGAGAGAGAGCGGCAGCCGATCGGCGACGGCCATCTTGCATACCTGAGCCGCCGCTGCATAGCTGTGTTCCTCGAGGGCAAAAGGTAGAATATCTTTGCAGGAAGACGGCGAAGGAATGAGGAGCGTGGGGCCCTGATCGCAAGCACGCGGAGCAGTAAGAGGGAAATAGAGGGGGGGGGAGATGGTGTGTACATATTTCTATATATATATAGTAGGGCCCAAAAGAGAGGGAGTAAGCCCCTTCCCTCCCCGTTGAACGGAGCGAGACAAAAAAGCTCCCGGCCATAAGCGGGAAAAAGAGCGAGAGAGGGATAAGGCCCAGGCGCGAGAGAAGAAGGGGCGGAGGGGGGGGGATCGGTCGGAGGTGCAGGTGAGAGCGAGAGAAAACGCAATGCCCGTTGGGCCCGATAGATCGGAGAGGGATGGCGTCAGCCGGCCTAAAGAATGCCTCTCTCTCTCCGCGAGAGAGCGCGGCTGCTTTACCCACACTGTATGTGCCTCTCGGTCTGAATTGCACGCGGCAGCAGCTAGGGGCCCACCGGTGTCCGCGCGCTGAGTTTTGCTCAGTCGAGTCGGGTCGGTCCTCGAAGAAAGGACTCCCAACTTTCTTCCCGAGCGCGAGCGAGGACACCCAAGCGCGCTCTTCAAAACACAACCCAAATCGCCCCGATACTTGTATATTTTTTTTTTTTCTTTTTTTTTTTTTTGACACGTTATATCTGCTGAAGCGCGCGATATGACGACCTAAAAGGACCCTTCCGGACCCATACTATACAGGTACCTCGCGCTGTTTGTTATCATTCCCTGCCCAACATGCACGCTGGCATGTAAACTAGTTTGACGTGACTGTTGAGTACAATCTCTGTATAAGTACGTGGGTCGATAAAAACAACGAAAGACTACCTATATACTTAGCGCAGTGTACTACGTCGTCGTCGCGTGGTCCACTATACATGTAAGCATCCGAGAGAGAGAGAGAGAGAGAGAGAGGAAAAGCCAATGAACCAAGCTGTGTGTACGTGTATCTGTGCTCCGATTTCTCGCTCTTCTCGTGTGCAGTTCGCGATATCTTTGGGGACCTGCTCTCCACACACACACACGCTTACACAGGTGTGCGTGGTTGCGTATCTACATATATACACGTGCCAGTGCAGCAGATTTCTCTCGGAGGCTGCATACCTACTTGTATATATACATATATACATGAGGAGAGAAGTACGTGTACGTCAGCGGGAGAGGAGCACGCGTAATAATATAATATCGAGACCTTGAAAGGAGAGGAAGAGTTGCACACTGTTGTTGTTATTTATTTATTTTTTTCGTCTTCTCTCCCGGTTTTTTGTTCCTTCCTCCATCACTCGGTGGAGGCTCACTTTCGGAGCAGCAGAAGAAGAATTCCCCGTATTTCGAGGCTATCGTATACCTCGCCGATCGCAAACATTGGAAGTCCCTTTGAGCGGTGCTGTTGCCGATCTGGTTCTCTCGTTTGTACTCAAAAAGTGCCGAGATACAACGAATCATTTATGAAAATCCACGATACAAACTATTCACAAGTCATATGTTTATGCCAGAGTGATACGAAACACATGCATGTATGTACATACAATATACCGATACCACAACACCGCATACCTGAACAGCGAGTCGGCGAGAAGGAGCCGAAGGTGGTATAGGGGGAGTAGCCGCGTGCTCGATGGAATGTTAAATTCGCCAGCCTCCCTGTACCCAAATCGAGAATTATTCAGATTCGCAGGGAGATTACATCAGATGGAGCTGAGCCCCGAATAATACACGTGAAATCAAGTCTTTCGGCAACGTCTCCGTGTACGTGCGTGCGCGTTTTTGTGTATATCGGTGTGTTGTGGTACACGTGCGGGGGCCGCGACGCAATTGTAAATTTTACACAGTAAGTATAGCACGCTATACATAGCTGACATATCACTCATTGCGCTCACCAAAGTATACCGATCTTAAACCGATCTTGGCGCATCTTGTTGCTTGCAACTAAGCGAATCTCACGTTGACATTGAAAAAAATACGAGATCGAGGTGCGCGCAGTTGGTATTTACAACAGCCGATTTTCCCACCACCTCTCGCGCCGCGTACACATAATAAGTACCACGCTTTCGGGGCGAGAGAACGAGAGAGGAGGTGGAGGCGCGGCGGTATATCCGTGTGTGTGTGTGTGTATACAGACCGGTCAGTGCCCCCACTTCTTCGAGAGTAGAAGATTTCCATCTCGCGTATGTGTGTGCTGCTTGCACACGCTCGATTCGCATCTCGTAAAAGGGCAAGAGTATATTATTATACCTCGTACCTATACCGGCATAATTTTACATGTACCTGCAGTTACGACTCTCCGTATTTCTCGATTTAACTCGTCCTTCGGGGCATTATTGACCTGCCGTCATATCACGAGTGCCATGTAATGTTTATCCATGCGTTCCTACCGTCTACATTTTATTTGTCATCATTCACGAGTGCCATGTCCTCGCGCGATGGATGACGATGAGTCGCTGATCCACTAAGGTGTACTCAGACGACAATAGGGGCTACAATGGCCAATACGGGGACAAATGGACATTGCAACAGGTAGCAGTAGAGGCAGAAGGCCCGGATATACCATGAGGGGCAGAGGAGGCAAGAGTCGCCGCGTCCTGGGGAGTCTGTCGACGTTCTCCCTACTGCTGATCCTGTTGCTGGTGATTGCCGGTAGAAATGTTACTCGAGCGATCAGCAGCAGTAACAACAACAACAACAACAATAATGACGACGACGACGAGGACGACGGTGACTTTGGGAGTTACCAGAAAGTGGGGCGACTCGTGACGCTGCAAGATATGCCGGCGGCTATGCAGAGTCGAGCCGTCGAGAAGAGGGCCCAGCTCGAGGTTAAGGAGGGCGAGCCTCTGGGTACCCTCGTCGGCCGAATACCCGTGATACCGGACTTTACCTACCGGTTCAACGAGCAGCCCAAGGAATTTAATCTGGACCCCGTGTCGGGGGAGATCAGGACGGCCGTGCTCCTCGACAGGGAAAGATTGACGAGCGACCGGTTCGACCTGGTGGTGCTGTCGAGCCAGCCGACCTACCCGATCGAAGTTAAAATACGCGTGATCGACGTCAACGACAACGCCCCGGAGTTTCCCGAGTCGAGCATCGCCGTGAGCTTCGCCGAGTCGGCCAGTGCTGGCACGAAGCTGCTGCTCGACACCGCGACCGACAGGGACACCCCGGAGAACGGCATCACCGATGACTACTCCATCGTGGACGGCAACGCCGATGGCAAGTTTCGACTTTTGGTCACTGGAAACCCAAGCATCTCGTCGTCCTACCTCCACTTGGAGACAACGAGCAAACTCGACCGCGAGCAAATCGAGTACTACTCGCTGAACGTGTGCGCGCGCGATCGGGGCCAACCACCGAAGCTTGGCTGCCTGTTGGTCAACGTGACGGTGCTCGACGTCAACGACAACCCACCGATGTTCCTTCAGAGCGAGTACGTGGCCGTACTCAACGAAAGCTCCCCGGTGGGCACGCACATTCTCACCGTTCAAGCCTACGACAAGGACAGCGAGGACAACGCGAGGCTCACGTACTACCTGTCGGAGACGAACGAGCGCCAATTCAGCGTGAACCCCGAGACGGGAGAGGTTACGACGAGCGAGGCGCCCCTCGAGTGTCCCCAGCAGCAGAGCTGCCAGGACCAGCGGGCCAAGAGACACTCGGCCGGTGGGTGTCCGAAGAGCTGCGTTATTGCGGTCTTTGCCCAGGATCACGGTACGCCCCGGCAGGAAGGCCGTACCTACGTGACGGTCAACCTGTTGGACTCGAACGACCACGACCCCGAGATCCGGTTCACGTATTTCCCGCCGACCTCGGGCTTCGCGACGGTCGACGAGAACGCGGCCAAGGGCTCGATAGTCGCCGCGATTGGCGTGATCGACGCCGACGAGGGACTCAATAGCGAGACGAGCATCGAGATAAGGGCCGGCAACGAGCTCCGGCACTTTGAGCTAACCGGGTACAACGACGACGAGGCCTCGGCCCAGAGTTTCCGCCTCGTGCGGGTCAACGGCAAGCTGGACCGCGAGGAGATACCCAAGTACAATTTGACGATCGTCGCCCGGGACCGGGGCAACCCGCCGAGGTCGGCCACGGCTTACCTAGCCATCCACGTGAACGACGTGAACGACCACGAGCCGGTGTTCCAGCAGAGCGAGTACTCGGCCGTCCTCTCGGAGCTCTCGCCGGTGGGGAGCTTCGTGGCGAGTATCACGGCCACGGATGCGGACACGGGACTCAACGCGCGCATCTACTACGACTTCGAGGCTACGGGGAACGAGCACGCCTGGTTCGCCATAGATCGGGACACGGGCCTGGTGACGACGCGGGCCACCCTGGACCGAGAGATCGAGGGTAGCGTGGAGCTGCGGGTTCAGGCCAGGGATGGCGGACCCAATCCAAAGTTCGTCTCGACCCACCTGCGCGTCACGATTCTCGACGAGAACGACGAGGTGCCCAAGTTTGCGAGCAGCTACCTGGAGGTCGCGCTCTCGGAGAACACGCCAGCCGACAGTCTGGTGGCCACCTTGTCGGCCGTCGACAACGACCAGGGGACCAACGGCAGCGTTGCGTACAGCCTGCACCCGAGCGTGCTGCGCGATTATCCACGGACCTTTGCCCTGGACTCCCTGACGGGCCAGTTGATGACGAAGGTCACCCTGGACAGGGAACGGATGGCCGAGTACCGAATACTCGTGGTGGCGAGGGACCAGGGCAGCCCGACCCAGAGCTCCACCGCCACGGTTCTACTGAGCATCGAGGATGTCAACGACAACGCACCCGTCTTCTACCCAACCACGTACTTCTTCCCTGTGGGAAGGGATTCGACACGCGGCACCCTCGCGGGTAAGCTCTTTGCCACAGACGCCGACTCGAAGGAGAACGCGCTCATCAGGTACAGCCTCGAATCGGGTGGCGACGGGGGGCTCTTTGCCATGGACGAAAGGACCGGCGAGCTGTTCCTGCAGGGCCCGCTGCGCCACAGGAGTCTCTTCAAGCTGACTGTCTCCGCCAGGGACAACGGCGACAGAGCTGCCGCGAGAAACGCCCTGGTCGAGGTAGTCGACAGAGAAAGCTTGGTGCACCTTGAGTTCAAGGCCTTCGACAACGGCTACCGTTTCCGAGTGATGGAGCACCATGGCGACTGCTCGGACAAGCTCGCGTACAAAAACACACCATCGAGGGACGTCGGAACCGTCCAGGTTGACGTGCAGCAGGGCCAAAAAATAGCGTCAGTCACCTACGCCATTGTCCTCGGGGATCCGGAGGGCCGATTCAGGATAGACGAGTCAACGGGTGCCATAACCACGGCTGGCTGCATCGACCGCGAGAAGACGGCCCAGTACAATCTGCAGGTATCAGCACGAGCGGGCCTGGCGTACGGTTTGGCGAGAGTGAACGTCAGCGTGCTCGACAGCAACGACAATCCACCCAGGTTCTCCAGCGAGGAGCGCGAGGAGGACGTCCCGCTGAACGAGCTTGCGGCCGTGGGTCAAGAGGTCTGCTTGGCGCGAGCCCGCGACAGGGACGTGGGACTCAACGCTCGCGTCGTCTACTCGTTGACGCGCAATCCTGGCCAACAGTTCCGCATAGCCGAGGGTACGGGAATCGTGTATTTGGCCAAGCCGGTCACCCAGCCACCGGGAACGGTCCTCCAGATCGAAGTGACCGCCCGGGATTCAGCGGGGGCCGAGCAACAGCAACACTCCCTCGCCACGACCCAGCAGATTCGGGTGGTCATCGAGGACGCTAACAATCACACGCCGGTCTTTGAGCTGCCGAGCTACGAGACCTCGCTGCCCGAGTCGACACCCGTGAACGAGCGGTTCTTCGGACTACTGGCCTCGGACGCGGATTTTGGACCAAACAACGGCCGAGTGTCCTACTGGATAAGCGAGGGCAACTCCGAGGGCCGGTTCGGCATCTTCCCCGACGGGCAGCTCTACGTGCGCAACGAGCTGGACCGCGAGGAGCAGGACTACTACGCCCTGGAGGTTACAGCAAGCGACCACGGTAACCCAAAGCGGAGCTCGAGCGTGTCCCTGGTCGTGCACGTGGTCGATGAGAACGACAACGCGCCGCAGTTTGGCAACTCGAGCTTCACCTTCCACCTGCGCGAGAACGAGCCCGCCGACACGTTCGTCGGCAAACTCGTGGCCAGCGACCGCGACGCAGGACGAAATGCCGATCTGACCTACTCTCTGCCCGCCACCCAGCAGGACTTTGCGGTGGACCCGCGCAATGGTTTCGTGAGGTCGCTGCGAGCCTTCGACCGGGAACACCTGGTGGCCAGCACCGGAGGGAACGTGATCAGCCTCGAGGCGACCGTCCACGACAACGGGGCGATGGGCCGACTCAGAGACCGGGTCAAGATGAGCGTCTACATTGGCGATGTGAACGACAATGCGCCTCAGTTCAAGCGACTGCCCTACCAAATCCAAGTGAGCGAGGCCGCAGCCGTAGGGAACCAGTTGCTGCGCGTCTACACCTCGGACGCCGACGAGGGACTCAACGGGGACGTGTTTTACACCCTGGAGGACAGCGGTGACGAGCAGTTTGCCATCGACGAGGCCACGGGTCAGATAATCCTGGCCAAAAGGCTGGACCGAGAGTCGCGCGACACCTACCGACTAACCGTGGTGGCTCATGACGCGGGCCAGGAGATGCAGCTGTCGGCGAGCGCCACGGTCGACGTGGATGTGCTCGACGAGAACGACAACGCGCCACGCTTTGTCGACGGCAAGCCGAGGATATCGGTACCCGAGACGACCGCGCTCAACGTCGAGCTGCTGCGCTTCAGGGCGACCGACGCCGACCTCGGGAGCAACGCTGAGCTGAGCTACGCCATAACCGCGGGCAACAAGTACGACGCGTTCCACGTCGAACCAGCCACTGGAGCACTCTACCTGCGCAAGCCCCTCGACTACGAGGACCAAAAGTTCCACCAGCTGAACGTGAGCTGCAGCGATTCTGGCCACCCACGGCTGAGCAGCCTCGTTAGTCTGCGCGTCGACGTGGTCGACGCCAACGACAACCCGCCTGTTTTCCCGAACACGGCCATCGTCCGGCAGATCGTCGAGGGCCTGCCGGTTCACCGGCCCGTGGTGACTGTCAGCGCCGAGGACCCGGACTCGGGTGACAACGGCTTGGTCAGCTACGCGATCGCCAGCCAGGAACCCGAGGACGAGAAACGCCGCTTCGGCATCAACCCGGCAACCGCGGTGATTCACACCCTCCTGCCGATCGAGCGCGAGGAGATAGACACCTTCAAACTCATTGTCGTTGCCACGGACACGGCCCAGCCGACTTCCAGCAGACTATCGGCCGAGAAGTCGGTCACGGTCATTGTGACCGACGTCAACGACAACGCGCCCGTCTTTGTCAACATGCCGGCCTTTGTGTTGCCGCGCACCTCTCCCCTCAGGGATGAGCCGGTACAGATCGGGCAGTTTCTGGCCCGAGACGCCGATTCCAGCACCAACGGCCAGGTGACGTACGAGCTGCTACGCAGCGACAACAACTACACGGACCTGGTGCAGATACATCGTGGCACTGGGATGCTCGCGATGCGGCTCTTGGGTGGGGTCGTCTTCGGGCGCGTGGACAGGTTGCGGGTGGGAGTGCGGGCGAGCGACGAGGCCAGCCAGGCCGAACGCCGGTCCACCGAGAGCTACGCGACCCTCATAGTGCCGGGCGCCGAGGGCGATGGCCCGGTTTGGGAGCATAGCGGGACCCTCGAGGGAAGCGTACGGGAGAACGAAGCAGTGGGTACCAGTGTGTTGCGCGTCAGGGCCAAGAGTCGAAGGAGATCGGGGGTGGTGGTAGCAGGAGACGAACCGGTCGTCGAGTACTACGTGACCAACGTGACTGCCGGGGTGGATGGGCCGATGGTGGACAGGCTCTTTGACGTCGACGCCAGATCGGGGCTGCTGTCTACGGCCGCGCCCTTGGACCGGGAGCTCGGCGCCGAATGGTACGAGGTTGAGGTCTACGCGGTCGTCGTTGGAGCAGCAAGGCCCAGCACGTCCTCGACAAAGGTGAGTCTGAATTTTTTCTTCTTTACCTCTCCTTGTACTTGACTTTACGATACACAATAATGTAGCACTTGCTTGCGTATCGAGTCGATTTTGCACGATTGAGTCGTTTAGCGCAACCCGATGCAGTTCTCGCACGGCTCAATGGTAATGGTGTAATCTAAAATTTTAATCCGATTGGAACACATACAACGTACAATTTGTACGGGAAATGTTCATTTGCATACTACACGAGCTGATGGAGATACACACGGCCCTAGGTATATGTATATACACGAGAAACAAATTAATTAACTCTTTGCTCTTGTAATTAGATTAATTTACGTCGAGATGTACATGTAGATGTGGGGAAAAAGGTAAACAACAAATGAACACGATGTTTTTTTTGTTTTTGTTTTTTTTTTATATTCTATTCACGCGTACCAGCACACAATAACCCATGCATCATTTATGCAAATGCCCGTTGCGCCGTAAATTATCTAAATTTGTTCAACAACTACGAAACGCCCTTGAGAAAGAAAAAAGAGATAAGCGAACGATCGATTTTAACATATTGTGTGTACACATCATCGTAAAAGATATTTATCCATCGCGCATGTATACACAATTAGGTACACGGCTCTCGTGAGAAAATATCCCTGGTGTTAATGCACGGCGGTAAATCTGATGAGGGGCCTTCATGTTGTTGCTACTCATGGGCCAGCTGATATATGTCAGACGATCAAAGACCTCGATTGTACTCGTGAGCGTTTGACGCTTTGACTGATGTTCTTACTTGTTTCCAAACGATAAAGAAAAAAAAAAAAAAAAAAAAAAGCTTACCGATTTCTTACGGTTGGCCATAGTTTTGCATGATTGTCATCAATCGCCGAGCGAAGCAATCAACTAAGCGCTGCTCTCGCGGGGGAGCGAGAAATCGGCAACGCCCACGCGCGCGTTACCCACGCTGGCGCGATCGCCTTTGAGTTCCGCGAAACCGTGCCTGCGAGGGGGAAGAAAAAAAACGAAGAGCAGAGCGTATACAACTATTTACATAATCAGCGGCGGCAACTAACGCATATATACCTACGTTAAAAAAAAAGGGGGAGGGAGAACAAGTCAAATTAAGTCATCACACAGACACACACACCCACGAGGCAGTGTTGCAGTGGCGTGGGGAGAGATATAAGGGGGGGGGAGTACTCTCGGGGGTCGTACATCTCTTGGTCTCCCCTCGCTCCCTTTCTTCTTGCGCTCGCTCGCTGTTTTACATCTTTTCAGTGGCACTTCCCACGCGCCCGAGCGCATCCTCCTTCCGGCCTCTTCGCTATACACCCTGTTTTTACTATAATCCAAGGCAAACCAACTACGCGCTCGCACGGAAATCGGTATGGATGCCCCTCGCGGCTCATATATACTTACCACCCTTTTGCGGTTTACTTGTTCCTCCCTCTCTCTCTCTCTCTCTCTCTCTATCTTTCTCTTCATTTATTGGCTAATTAGATAATCAGCCACGGCTTTGTATACAAGACCACGAGTCGCTTATTGTGAATGAATAATCAATAATATACTATACTACTTTGACCACAACGTTTGCATTGTCGAGTATACTTTATACGTTAATGTAAACGTAAAACAGAAAAAAATTTGTAAAATTTTTTTATCAAGGACATCCATCATTATTTTTTCATATTTCCATCAGACTGACTATATTATTTGACTTATTGACTGATGGATGTATTAAAATCATACTATGCAATACATTATTCTTAACACAAAATTTATACAAATTATCTCTCTATATGTATATTTATGATCTATACCTCACTTTCTCTAGTAAAAAAGGTGATGAGCCCCTGCTGTATACAATACATCGGTAATAGTATTCGGCATTGCGTAATGATACACGTATGTACGAGTATAACACATGTACGTACTTGTACAAGTCTCGCGAAAAAGAGAGGAGTTTTTTGTTTTTTCTTGCACGCGTGTCGTCTTTGTACAGGTGCACAGCAGAGTCGTCGAGTTTGGAACGGGACGAAAAAAAAACAAAAAAAAAAAAAAAAAACAGAACGCAAAATTGGGGGTACAAAAGGCCACGTGAGAAAGGTGTGTGTCACGCGCGTGGCTTTTCTCCCTCCACGGTGTTGATTGGTGTTGTATCTACAATTTTTATCCCTCTTTTATATTCGTATCGATGAATTTTCGCGCACCGATTGTATTCGTCACGTTTTTGACCATCAAAAGCTCAACCAGCACAAGACAACTCGAAAGTACAATAATCAAGCCCCACTCGAGTCCCTTTTCCTTCAGAGGGAACGTTCACTCGATTATAAAAATATGTAACGTGTGCACTCGCACGGGTGAGGTTCGGCGAGAGTCCGTGCAGGCAAAGAGCCATAAATTGCAAAAGTTAGAAAAAGCCCGTGACACTCTCGCGGGATGGGGACGCAAACGGAAATAAACGTCTGGAGGAGGAGGAGACGAAGTGTATATAATGTACCAGGCGAGAAAAGAAACGAGAGAAGCGAGCGCAGAACGGGAGCACCGGGAGAAACGACCATTGCCGAGAGTGTATAGAACCGCGTGCCATCAGGAAGTTGGGTCGGGGATATTATTCGAGTGTGCACCGCTGGACCGGCTTCTCTCCCCCCCCTTCCCCACTCACGGGGAAAAACTTGATCTCCACCCCTTACACACATGTATTTATACACTGAAGCGCGCGCGTCTTGCCTTATAGGTATACCCATACACCGAGGGACAGCTCGTCTCCTTCTTCTTCTCCTTTAATTCTTCCTCTCGCGTGTATATAATATATAAGCGACATTTCTCCGTTGACGTTTCGTCTCCTCGAAAGGATCCTCTGTTATTTTAAACTGCCCCTTTGCCGCTCGCATACTTTCGTAAACAAGCATTTTTGCGCCCCCCCCCTCCCTTCCCCATCGGCTCTCCCTTGATATTTCTTGGCATTGCAGCTTTTAATTCATTAATGAGCACGAACGCGTACGTAATACGCGGTAGCGGCTAAACCGCGGCGAGGGTAATGATTTCTCGCGCACGGACTCCGTCTCGGATAATATATTACATATATACATACGTACCTACTTGGGGTATTTTCACATAATTGCGCAAAAAACCGAGAGAAAGAGAAAACCCTTTTTTTCCTCTTTCATTTTCGGGGAAGAAATCGCGCAAGAGAATACTATATATAAATGGTGATTCCCTACGAGAGGCGCTTCGCGGGGATTGCGATAGTGACGCGATTATATCGTCGTATATACTCTGTTGGCTTGCGCGTGTGGCTTAATGAAATAATAATAAGGGGATGATGATGATGATGATGATGATGATGACGAGCGCGTGTCGCGTGTGCGCGTCGACCTCTGGTTATATAGCTCGATTGGCGGGGCGGAGACAAGGATTATACTTTGCGAATTACAGCGCGGCCGCATTTAATTGTGCAATTTTGCCGATCTCCCCAGCGTGTATAGGTATACATAAATACACAGGAGGTGGTGAGATGTCAATGATCGCGCGTCTCGATTGCGAGAACACCGGACGACCGGTGTTTCGCTAAAGTATATACGAGCCCCGCATGTGTGTGTCCGACTTTCTCAGGCCTTTTTCCGCCAAAGACATTTCGTTCTTTTGGTCCTCGGATCAGCGCGGCCACTTGCAAAATGAAGGGGTAAAAAAATATTTAAAAAAAAGGGGCTCTTCCCGCAAAAGATGAGCCGACCGAGCTAAATCATCCCGAGAAGCGTATGTATATACATACAGAGATACAAGGGACAAATGTACGTAAGATCCCAGCGTGTATTATATATAGCTACAGTCTCGGCATCGAAAAGAATCCGCTGCGCGCTAATCGCGCGGCAAAGAGGAACACCGGCGCGCAAAAAAGTGCGTTCACCCCCTCCCCCTCGTTTGCTCATCTTCGCAAATACGCAATAAATGCCATAAACAAATACACGCGCGGGTCTTCAAAACGCTGTAACTGATGGGGCGGGTGCACGATAATCGGCGCATTCCCGCCGACTCGAGAAATCTCCCGACACATTTTTCAAACCATTCGCCCACCCCCCACCTCCGCAATCCTGCACTCTCGCGGTTATCTCGTCCCTTTTTCCCTTCTACATGCACACGTACGTACACTTTTTGGCCCGACAACCGCACGCTTAGCGTATACACGCATAAGAGAAAGAAAGGGAGGGAGATAAAGAGGAACGACGACTTTACGCACCACATCCGCGCTAATCATATCCAATCCTCTTCCTCTGGTCTCCCTTTTTGTGCCACGTGTATGTATATAACAAACGCACACACACCCACGCGTAACATATACAGAGTACCGTACGAGCGAAATCGCCTTGGTAACGAAAGGAAGAGAGGGACGCGGAAAAGAGAGCAATCGAGCCCCCAACCCCTCTCTCTCCCCCGCGCTCGTGAGATTCGCCGATCTCTCTCGTCGCGTCGCCGTCTCTTCGGTCCCATGACGCTTTTTGCCGTCTCCCTTCAGAATTAAGCGGGACCCCTCAAAGGATCACAGAGAGAGAACTGAATGGGAGGACGTGGAGGAGGAGGAGGGAATGCCGAAGCCCGTAAGTGGGCTTTTTGCGGGGGCACGACGCTGTCCACGGGACGCTAAGGGGGGGGGAGACAGTGAAATATTCGGGGGTTGATGCGAACGAGCTTTATCCCGCTGCGGCGCTTTTTTTGCCCCCACCGTATATACCATACGCGCGCATGTACAACGTACCGCTGGAAAAGATGAACAAGGTGGGCGTCTACTTGTATATATGTATATTAACGCTCGACGATGCCCCAAGAGAGAGAGAGAGAAAAGTATATTTGTACTCTGGCCAAGAAAATTTGTTCCACAATTGTGGTCTTTTTGCGGGGCGAGCTCGATTTTCGAAAAACCCACGGCGGGAAGGAGGGAAATTTATTGCACCGATACCGCAAGTGGTCGCTTGTGAAAAAAAAAAAAAAAAAAAAAAGACTCCCCCCATCAGTTTGTCCGT